TTGGAATTGGTTAAAATCTCATAATTGATGATTGGTTTATTACAACCGATCAATCATCGAAACAAATTGGTTAGCATCATTAATGAAATTTGTTAATGCACATAAAAATAAGGAAAAACACGTAGTTCATTTGGGGTGTTTTTGGCTAAATTTCACTTCTTTAAGGGATGACTAGTATGTCAGGAACATAAATTTCTTCGAGTCTTTAAGATAAATTCAATCATGACTTGAAACAAGCTTGTGGTGCTTATGAAATGTAACAGACAAAACCAACCTTGTGAAAATATTGTTTATGAAAACAAGTGTTCCAGAATTGTTTGTGTTCGATTATGAGAAAACATGATCGATTGCTTGGTCGTTTAGTCACTGCGACCAATCTTCGATTATTTCAATTTATCGGACCACCACTACATTGTAGCCATCAGGATCGGGCGCTTTAACCACTACGCTACCTCACCGCCCCCTCGAATGGTTTGCTATAACTGCATACGTTGTTTTTTAATTTTAAAATGTAGTTAAATGCGCGCGACGACATCGACATTTCCAAACTAGCTGATACCTGTCCTCCATGTAGTATCGGTTTCCATGGTGATGACACGGGGTACTTACGTTAACACAGAGGTAAGTCACTATGACCCTGAAACGAGTCACGTGGAGTCTAACGATCATCTCCATGGCAACCAGGTGATACTTCAAGCAAATGATATATCTTATTTACATGGCCTTAGGGATTAACTGCAAGTGTTTCCGGGGACTTTTGAGATGTATTGATGTTCCGAACAAAAACTAACAGCTTAATCATTTTGAAATGCATTAAACGTTAAAGCATTAAAATTAGACCTGTCTTCAAATAGGTTTCGTCAATGAGGCCAAGTACTTGATAATGTTGTGTCATTAGCTGTTACATCAGAATCATCTGGAGTAGGTTTTCACCTTTCAGGTATCATTAGGCTGTAATAACTCCGACATTTGTGAAGGTAAAGTAGGTGAAGGTCAATAAATGTTCACCAAGGTCAAGGTCAATGACAGTTATTTATAGACTTTTTGTGGTTGATGTAATCACTGCTGGAGGGGGCATCGTAAATAGATAAACACCGCGCAATTAGTATATTACAGATGTGAAAAAGCTCCGGAAAATACCGGAACATAATAATTATGTTGGAATGAGATTTTACAACAACACATCAGCGATTTTTGTCAGACTTGCCAGATGTTGTGAAAAGAATGTAACATAATGATGGGTTAACATAAATAAGCAGCGATGCAGGTTTCTTTAAAAAAATAGTTACAGTCGTCGTATCATAAGGGCACTTCAACCTAAAGGCGGTGAGGTAACTCAGAGGTTAAACTGTCCGCTCGTCACGCCGAAGGTCCGGGTTCGATTCCACACATGGGTACAATGTGGGAAACTTTCTCGCACCCTGCCGTAATATTGTTGGAGTGTTGCGAAAAGCCTCGTAAAGCCATATTCACTTACAAACCATTTTGTAACGCGGGCCGACCGTACGCAGACAATTATACTACTCACACTTTGCTAAGGATCACAAAATTCACAACTTTACTTAAACGTAGAGCTACGATTTGAAATTATATCCATTTAAAAATGGATAAATAATAATGGGGTAACACCTCTTTAGGCAACGAACCACTTTAATCTAACCCTATGCACTTGATATATGAGTAACCATAAAAATGGTTTTGATGGCACCAATCAACCATTTTGCAAATCATGGAACAAGTCATTGACAGGTACACAACACCTGTCAATAGCAGATATGGGATCCACAAGATGAAATGACATACTGAAACCTGGGATCCATGGTTACAATAAGATTAGATATTTAAACCAAATTTGACCCCACATGATAGTTTTCTGTTGAATCCATGATTTGATCCTTAGCAAAGTGTGAATAGTATATATGTTTATCACCAGCCAAGGAGTCTCGGAATCTCGAGAAACACGCAGCTGATAGATTGGTGGGAATGAATGAAGAGAAGCATAATTCTGCTGGAGGCTCTTCCTGAGTCACGTCAACAATGAGGGGCGGTGGGGTAGCCTAGTGGTTGAAGCGTTCGTTCGTCACGCCGAAGGCCCGGGTTCGATTCCCACATAGGTAAAATATGTGGAGCTCATTTCTGGTGTCCCCCGCCGCGATATTGCTTAAATATTGCTAAAAGCGGCTTAAAACGTAACTCACCCACTTGTTCATAATGACTTTAATGACTACTAGCCAAACACATGAAAATGTCCGGTAACTTTCACGTACTAAATGACTGTAGGGCAGTTAAGACCGCCTCCATGGTGTAGTGGTTAGAGCGTCTGCCCGGAGAACGGAAGGTCGCGGGTTCGATCCCCGACCGCGTCATACCAAAAGACGTTAAAATATGGTACTTGTTGGTCCCTGTCTGGCGCTCGGCATTAATGGGTACAACAAAGACTGGTCGTCTCGGAGTCAGTATGTGTCTGAGTGGGGTATTCATGCTTCACTGCGGCATGGTATCTCAGTGGGCTAGCACTATAAAACCAGCTTAAGTCTGGGCTAGTACAAGCAGCCGCACATACACATACACACGCATGCACGTCGTCATATGAGCGAAATATTCTCAAGCACGACCCAATTTCACCTCACCTCACCCGTAGGCAGTTACCTGACCATCCACACTTCCAGAGGCGTCATGGCAGATGTCTCATGTTTATGATGGTTTGTCTACATACTTAATGATAATAATCCACTTGTAACGCACTGAATCCATGCACAGTACATGCTCTAAGCGCACATGTCCGAGAGGAGGTGACAGAAATTACACAGAGATGGCAAGTCTGAACAGGAACTATGACAATGATTCACAGTCTTTGAGGTCCTAGGGCAGAGAGTTCCAGGCTTTAGTGGCTGAATATGCAAATTGTTCATACAATCTATAATCTCTTCACTGCTGACACAACTTTCATTTAGTAATGTTATATTTCTTGTCTTCAATCGCTAACTTCAAATGCATCTTTCATTACTCCATAAGAATGCGTGAATCACACGCACGCACTCAAGCAGTTGGCAGGTAAGATACCCTATTGCACTGGAGTTAGCCATATCATTTTTAATCATAAGTTGTGATGTGGGTTGTCGTGTTTTCACGGGAAAACTTTTGTGTGTGTGTGTCTTTTCAAGCTTGGGCATGAGGATCGAGAGAGGGATTGGTTTTCAGATAATTCGGCTTTAGTGGCTGAATATGCAAATTCGTCATAAAATCTATAATCTCTACACTGCTGACACAACTTTGATTTAGTAATGTTATATTTCTTGTCTTCAATCGCTAACTTCAAATGCATATTTCATTACTCCATAAGAATGCGTGAATCACACGCACGCACTCAAGCAGTTGGCAGTAAGATACCATTTTGCACTGGAGTTAGACATATTATGTTTTAATCGTAAGTTGTGATGTGGGTTGTCGTGTTTTCACGGGAAACCTTTTTGTGTGTGTGTCTTTTCAAGCTTGGGCATGAGGATCGAGAGAGGGATTGGTTTTCCAGATAATTCGGAATTTCTAAACCAAGACTAAAATAAGGCCAGAAATGCTTGGAAAATGCGTTTTGGCAATTATTTGATAATGGTTGATATTTCAGATTCAAAACTCATATATAACTAGGTAGAGTCGTATATGTATCATATACACTAAACGCCAAAAGAAACGCTACCCTCCTTCCTTAATGACGGAGGTACCTATCTTCAGCTGGCGTTGTGATGCATGGGCGTCCACTTCTTGGTCTGTCTACGGTGACCCCAGTCTGTCAGAAGCCCTGAATAAATCTTATAACCGTGATACGGTGGCATCCGAGGGCGTTGGAAACTGCATTGAAAGTCAACCCCATCTGCATCATCCCAATGGCTCTTTCTCTCCCTTCAGCTGTTAATCGTGACATATTTCTCGTACTTGTGTATCATATCATGTATTGTAGGCTCTCTTCATACCCTATAGAATCATTCTACATGTGAAATGGATGCAAATACTGCTTAAATATTGCTGCGTTTTGGCGATTGATATTGCTATGTGTAAACAGAAAATGGAAAAATGTTACTTTGCAAGCAAAAATGTTAACAAAGATAATTTTAGATGTTCCTAAACATTTTTTCACCATATCAAAGACACGTTTTACTTGTTTTCACTAATGAAAATCAGCAGAAAATGTTTTAAAAGACTGAAATCATAGGGATGATTATTTTACAATTGTACACAGACTACAATAGTTGTTTTTTGTTTTAATAGTTGCAAAATGGTGACTTTAAATGGTTTATCTTTGTCCCAAAGCAGAATATAATTCAACCTTTCTTTCGGACATCTAAATCACTGTTATTGGTTTATTTCGGCATGGACGAAAATAGGAAAGTTTTACTGTTCTGAAAAATATGCATTTCACCTAAATATGAATGCATTTGAGAATTATTTTTCGTGATTTGCGTAAAGTTGTGTTGTTGAGCTTTCTTGTGAACTAATACCTTCTAACATATCTTTGATAGTTTTTAAATAATTCATAAAGGTAGGAGGGTAACGTTTCTTTTGGCGTTTAGTGTATGTGATTTTATCTTGAGTCAAATTCATCATATTGATATTGAAGCCAAAATGCATTTTCCAAGCATTTCTGGCCTTACTTTAATACATGGTTGATCCCTGCGCACAAACCATATTTCATGACAAGCTATTTCTACCAGGGACACGGCTAATGCTCACTGTATTGTTGGTTTCAGATGACAGGATAAGGAAACGCCGTCATGACTGCTGTCAAGATGCACGGACGACTCGGATACATTATGTCGAGTGTGATGCTATTTCTGTGTTTATATCCTCGAGCGTCATCTGTCAGTCTGAAAACATTTAACTACAGATGGATAGACGGAACTTTCCGCCAGATGTCATACCCGAGGACAAAAAATGGCGACTGTGTATACGACGCCACGCGTGATCTCGTCACGTGCGTGAAAAATCATCCCTACGACACCATCACGTCAACATGGCGGTACAAGGCGGATAACGTCTCATACGTTGCCGTAAACTGCCGTGCTCAGAGAATATATACAGGCCATTATGCGGAGTGTGTGTGCAAAGACAGGACAATGGCTGCACATCCTCATAAACGAACGCAGAGAGATTCCTACGTGTTTTGCCAGCTTGATGCCGTATACCGCGACATGCTGCAGCCGTTGACCAACCTTGAAGTCCTTGACCTTGCTCACAATCATCTCTTCCGTATTCCTCCGCACTGTTTCGATGACATGACGAAGATGAAGCTGCTTTCTCTCAGTAACAACCAGATCGAGCACTTCTTTGACGGGCTACTATGTGATGTGTCCAGCCTGGAGGTTCTTCTCCTTCAAGATCTACCTCTCACCTCTTTCCCCGCGAACCTGTTTGAATGTGGCTCGGATTTCCAGTCGAGTTTAAAAATCATTGATATCAGTCATTCGAAAATATCCACACTTAAGAAAGGAGACTTTCAGTCACTAAAACATCTTGGTCTTCTTGACCTTTCATACAACAACCTAGACACGCTTCCAGAAGAGCCGTTCCTTGGGCTGTCATCTCTTCAGACTCTTGATATGTCAGGAAATAGTTTTATTGAACTGCCCACAACCCTCTGTGTCGGTATTGAACAGGTCCAACGGCTTATCATCAATGGGAACCAGCTTCAAAGTTCCAATTGTTCTATATTCGAAAGGTGCAGCAACTTGACATACTTATCTTTATCAGAAGGATTGGTGTCAAATATAACCGGGTCGCCCTGTCACCTTGATTCCCTGAAACATCTCGATATTTCCGGAAACAAACTTTCCCAAATGCCTCTTAAATTACTACATAATGATTCGGTTATAGAGTTCATCGATCTCAGCAACAACAAGTTGGAGGGGGTTGACATTGAAACGTTTCATGACATGACACGACTAAAGTATCTGAATATGAGTCATAACCAGATTGATAAAATCGATGAAACTTTTCAAAAAGCATTACTACATCTACAAAATCTGGAAGTTTTAGATTTCACTGAAAGTCAAATTCGCCAACTGAATGATAACAGTTTCATATCACTGACATCTCTAAAAGAATTATATCTCTCAGATAATGATATACAACACGTACATGTAGAATCGTTCAAAGGGCTAGGAGATATCAACAAATTATATCTACAGTCAAACAACATCAGCAAAATTGAGAAGGGATCTTTTTCCCACATGAAACAGCTTACAGTCCTGGATCTGTCTCAGAATCAGTTAGTTCACCATGATACAGAGTATCCATCCTCGTTAAGGACGTTAGATGTGAGCCATAACCTAATCAGTACAATGGAATCTATAGGCGACTTGTTCAACCTCCAGGAACTACATCTCCAGGGTAACGCAATCAGTTACATTGCACCCCATTGGTTTATAAACATGACAGAACTTCAAATCATAGATATGAGCAAGAACAAACTATCCATCATCAGCGATGGCTTATTTTCAACACTTCCGAAACTCGAGGAGCTAAGCCTAAAGGGAAATGGTCTGACTATTGACTCTGCAAAGGATCTGTTTCATGAGTCCAGGCTGATGCGCAGACTGGACCTCAGTGAGAACAACATCAGGAACATTGATAATCTATTGGATGGAACCTCGATGAGACACGTGGAACATCTTGATCTCTCTTTCAACAACATCTCAGCTATCCGGGCACCTTTAAACAAAAGGAATGAATCTGTTTCTCTGAAGTGGCTCAATCTTGAATCATGTGGCATTGAATCTGTGGTTCGTGATGCCTTCGTCCATATGGAGGTTCTGGAATACGTCAAGCTTGTGAATAATTCCATCACGTTCGTGCCATTGTTTGATGCTCGCCTCGGTGCCATGTTTTTCTTCAGAGGGAACCCTATCATCTGTTCGTGTGGGATGGTGTGGCTGGAGGAACGCTGGCTTGACACAGATACCGTAGACAAGATGTCGACGTATGACTATGATGTTGACGTGTGCAGGACCTACCCGTCCATGATGGTCAAACCGATCAGACATTTGTCCGATCGGGAATTCATGTGTCCGGTTCCATCCAACTGCCCTCCTGAATGTGACTGTTTCGTTCTCAAGGAAGGAGGATCTGTATATATTACGGTGTGTAGAAACAACTTGACTGACATTCCACAAAACCTGCCACACGATTCGGAATATTTGTATCTTGATGGCAACAACTTTCACACCGTACAAAGAATTTCAAAGGGGTTCCACTATACTGAAAATGTGTTTCTTAACAACAGTGGCGTTGTGTCGTTTGGGGAGGATGTGTTTAAAGACTTCAGCCATGTCTTCGTCATCGACATAAGCTTTAACGACTTAAAATCATTGCCAACTTCCATATTTCAAGGACTGAAGTATCTGAAAGACATTAATCTGAAACACAATCATTTGACACACATCAGTGAAGGACTTTTGAAAAATGTTCCGCACTCCAAAACATAGACATAAGCGACAATAACATTCACCACATTCTTCCAGAGACGTTGCATGACCTAGATCATCTCGACACATTACGCTGGATTAAAATAGCCGGTAACCCTTTAATCTGTTCTTGTCCGAATCAGGAGTTCCGCCTATGGATGGAGAGGCGCTATAACAGGGTGTACGACCGTAGGGACGTCTTGTGTGGAGGGGAAGAAATTCGTCGTGTTGATGTGGATAGATTCGAATGTGATGACGACTTTCCTGATGGTCTGAAGACGGCCGTTATTGTTGCCTGCGTGGTTTCCGTTGTCGTGCCACTGATAGTCCTACTTGTGTATTGTCGTAAAGAAGTGTCAGCAGTATGTTACGCGAGATTCGCGCCCATTTGCTATACCGGAACCGGAAGTGGACACCATCATACCGATCCGTGTATCTACGACGCCGTGGTGTTGTACGACACATCCGATCCCAAATGTTTGTGGTGGATTCAGAAATCATTGGTACCAAAACTCACTGAAGGAAGGCGGAAGTTCAAACTGTATATTCTCAAACACGACATCCTATCACGTGAGTCCGCCATGTTTTACATCCAGAAGAGTCACTGCACTATAGCAATAGTAAATAATACATTTCCACAAAACAGATTCGCTCTGGAATGTTTCCGTCATTCTGCCGCTCATGACGTCGGCAATAATGGGAATCATCGTATGATTATGGTTACGTGGGGATTTATTGACAAAAAGAACTTGCCACAATGTCTGAGACATTACGTTGAGCGTGACAGAATCCTGCCAGTGACGAGCACCTGTTTTTGGGACAAGCTGATTCAGAAGTTACCAGATACCAGACACAGGCGCCAGGGCCTGGACAATCCGGCGCTTAACATGGAGGAAAATACCATGTGATGTTTCTGACAGACAGTGCGAATGTAGCTGGAGGATTTTCTATAGTGATAGTGACATTGTTTCCGTCATACAGGAACCACGTAGTTCTTGCAATACATTCCCCGAACCCACCTCTCCTCAGTCCATCCTTAATTTCTTCTAAGGAGCTTTATGACCTTAGGCGCTGTTACTCATTCTCCGCAATTATGTCCTATGTCTGTTGGTAATGGACCTTGTTGGCTATGGGTTGTGTGGATGAAAGAACAGCTGGTATGGGGATGGGATTTGGTATGTAGATAATAAATTAGATTTTATTTTTATAACGTATTACACCTTGTCCAATGACACATTTTCTACATATTACGTGAATGTATGTATTCCTGTTATTCGTTGAGACAACCTGTCATGGACACGTGGCTGCCGTTCCCATAATTCTCTGTCACCCTCCATGACACTCATGTAGGACATATACCTCGACTGCTATATACAATCCTCGTGAAGCACACGTGGTAAGAAGAATATGTTGACCAGGGCTCCTACCATCCCCGATAATCTCCAGGGTATACGTTACGATCACTCTCCACTACACCCTGGATGCATCCACGGCTTGGCCCGATGATTTTATTACCTCCCTTTGCTGGCTTTCTATCCAGTCAGGTGTCTACGCTGGGAAGTTGAGCGTACCAATCACAACTCACTTTCGCTTTTTAAATCATCTAACTGATTAAACTTGGCAACATAATAATATATTGTTGCAGAGGTTCTCTGAAAGAGGTAGAAGGAGTTCTTGCATATATTTTTTTAAGATTTCAGACGTGTCAATTTGTCTGTATGTTTCCCCCCAAAATCTGAGTCGCACTGCGAACAAACTTTCGCGGCTGCGACCGCTATCTTTGTTGACACTGGCAAGCTCGGATGTAACGGCGGCTTAGCTGATTAGCTACTGTGAGAATGCGGAGCCAGCAAAGGGAGGTAATATAATTATCCGGCCAAGCCGTGGATGCATCCAGGGTATAGTGGAGAGTGATCGTAACGTATACCCTGGAAATTATCCAGGATGGGCTCCTACCTGTAACAATCATCTGTTTGATATCTACAATGGAATATTGTTCTTTTGTAATACACCTGGGAAAGGTTAAGAACCACTGTCTTGTATTTCAGCGCAAAATAATAATTTCAGATGTTTCAAAGTGAAAGTCCTTGATATGCAGAAACCGAACATGACATGAGTACAATGGTATGTCACGTCCCCAGCCGTGATATTGCTGTAATATTGCTGTAATATTGCTAAATATTGCTAAATGCGGCATAAATCCACATTCACTCACTCGTTGGAGAAACTTGTGTTTTATTAACCGTTCAGCACATTTTCGTATTGTGTTAAACCTTTCATCGATGCGAGATCAATGTTTGTGAAAATGTCAATGTTTAATAGATATATAAGTCCGGGATATATAAAAATATATAAAATGTGGTTCTTAATTTTTCTTCAGGTGAACATATAGTTTTTATTCAGTTCTGTTTTTGAACTGAGATGTCTAGAGGTGAATTAATAGTCAGGTGTTTGAGATGTGCAACAACTAATGCATGTTTATTTCAGTAACAAAGCATGGCAGCTCAATCAGCGTAAACGTCGAATACAGATTCTCTGCCGGATCTTAGAATAATCAGGAAAATAATGTATTCGTGCAATCAGATAAATAATAATAATACCAATGAATAAATTTATTAATGAAAGTTTTGTTTTTACGTTGTCTACATACTGAAGCTGTCCGTATGTCCGTTTCCCGTCTCTCGCCAGCACTGGATTTCCATTCCGATGTGAAATGAATATAAACAGCAACGTTTATTATCTCAGTTTTCCCCGTCGCTGTTTAAATTTATGCCCTGGTGTCATACAATGAGGTACTCTCATACCTTCCCTCTCATCACAAAATAGGTCATCTGGAGCTTTCCTCATTTATGTCATATATTAACTTATATTGTTTCGGAAGCAAAACAACACGATCTTAATATGAAATAAAATAGAAATTTTTAGCAGGTCACCCAAATATCAAATGTCATCAAATAAGTAAAGATTTACAAATATTGAAAAGCGTTTAAAACTTTAATTTAAAAATGATTATGTTGTCCATCTGCTTTCTTGTTCGTTACTTGTTCGTTGCTGTATAGATGAGAAACGCAACATTATATACGAATACTCTCTACCTGTGGTTCAGTAATGTTAGGGCTTACACCCGTAACCTGCTCTTATGTTGCAGGGGCGGTGGGGTAGCCTGATGGTTAAAGCGTTCGCTCGTCACGCCGAAGACCCGGGTTCGATTCCCCACATGGGTACAAAACGTGAAGCTCATTTCTGGTGTCCCCAGCCGTGATATTGCTGGAATATTGCTAAAAGCGGCGTAAAACCAAACTCATTCACTCACTCTTATGCTGCAGATGATGTCTGAAGATGATGAATCTTGAGCCGGGGTTTCATGCTACCACGTGTGTGGAATGATGATGCTATTCCGGACTACTATCGTTTCTAAGTGCTAGGGGCGAGCCGTGGTTAAAGCGTTCGCTCGTCACGCCGAAGGCCACGATTCCCCACATGGGTACAATTTGTGAAGCCCATTTCTGGTGTCCCCCGCCGTGATATTGCTTAAATATTGCTAAAAACGGCGTAAAACCATAGTCAGTCAGTCAGTCTACAGTGCTAGCCTACTAACATACCATGCCACAGTTTACCATATAACGATTCTGTTAGCTTGTTGTTTAACTCCACACTCAGCATTATTCTAGCTTTATGGCGGCCGTGAATAATCGAGTCTGGATCAGACCAGACAATCCAGTGATCAGCATCGATCTGCGAAGCATCATGTGTCAACTAAGTCAGTGAGCCTGACCACTTGATCCCGTTAGTCACCTCTTACGATAAGCATGGGTTTGAAGAACAGCAGCGTGCGTGCGTGCGTGCGTGCGTGCGTGCGTGCGTGCATGCGTGTGAACTTAATTTAGAACTATGGCTAATGTTGTTTATGACTTTTGGTAACACAAATGGGTAAGACCTCCGCCCGTATCCCCAAAAATTTTAACGACAAGGAAAAATGTCTTTGAGTGGCATTTTTAGAAGTTGGATATGTCTTTCAGTATGTTCATATACTATTAAAGAAATATGTTAAAACTCATCCTTATCAGATGAGGAATATATATTCAGGTGATATGATTTGACTAGAATGAAATTTAAAAGGGGATACGGGTGGAAGTCTTTCCCCCAAAGGAGCTTTGAAGCTTGTTTGAGCTTGTTCATTGTAAATAACTAGACACCGATGCCTCGACAGTGTATTGGACACAGTCTGTAGCTCCTAGCCACACAATTGTCGACATGGGTTCAGCGTAAGACGTCAAGATGGCTGGAATACAGCCACACACTGTTGTGTCGCAGTTGAAGGAAACACTTCGTATTATCCAAGGTTCGAAACAACCGAAACATGATGAGTGAACAAATTATACGAAGATCCAAGCTTTTACTTCGGGACAACCGTTGGTTCGTGACATCAAATGTCGACCAAACGGTGTTTGCTACATGCTACGTACAACCTAACTCACAAATGACTGGTGGCCACTTCTTGTTCTTACGATGTATGTGGTGAGTGAGTGCGTTGATCGAACCACATTGCGTCAGTTATCAGGAGTGAGTGAGTGAGTTTAGTTTTACGCCGCACTCAGCAATATTCCAGTTATATGGTGGCGGTCTGTAAATGATCGATTCTGGACCAGACAATCCAGTGACCAACAGCATGAGCATCGGTCTGCGCAATTGAGAACCGATGAAATGTGTCAACCAAGTCAGCGAGCCTGACCACCCGATCCCGCTAGTCGCCTCTTACGACAAGCATGGGTTACTGAAGGCTCACTCTAACCCGGACCTTCACGGGTATACGATGTCTGGAGTTCGGCATTGAAGGGGTTAACAGCTGCTTGCTTGGTATTCTGGGAGTTGGCGAATAACTAAGAAAAAGATGTCATACAACCGAGTAACACCAAGATCTTGTTTATTGTGTTAGCGACTTTTCAATGTAGATACATATACTAGTCCATTTATCATGCATTGCTCGCTCGAAGCTCCCAAACGATGTGATTATTATTAGCCCGGATAACCCAAGCTGCCTGTTAGGGTTATAGTCATATTGTGGTGGCGCGTGGTCCTGTGCTTAAAGCTCAGGTCACAATCGGTGAAGTTTAGCAGCGTCGAGCTCGGAGAGTCCTTGGATGGGTGACCGTG